CACTCCTTTGCCCCCCCCAAATCAATGCTGTTCTTGCCTCACAATCCCTAGATGCAGCCCATGAAAAGGAAATGTACTGCATTATGATACGATAACAATAGCTGCGATGATTGTAGAACAAGTCCATTCGACTTTATGAATGATCTCAACGACTCTGGCTGGAGATTATACATGTTGCAGAGACGAGTTTGATTATGTTAATCTAACAGACAACCGCTGTTGCATGTTTGTATGATTTGGCCACTTGCTAGATACTAAGAGCCAGGTCCCGATCGGGACCCTTCTGCTTGAGGTTCTATTTTTGTCTGTCCGGAATTTGACTACCCTCTGGCCGTCTTCTTTGGTTTGCCCTTTTTGTCTTTTTCCTTTGGCCTCTACTTCTGCGCCAGGACGCTTGTTTCAGGTCTGCACAAGGGTTTGAGTCTGATGTCTGTGTAGCACATTTGACCTGAATCCTTGTGGGGGCGTTCATGACTGAGTCTGTACGGGCCGCTGTGGCACATTCAACAGTGTGTCCAAACTCTTGCTGGAGCTTTCATGGCTGATAGTCTGTATGGACCAGTGTGATTACCACCTATTCATATGTTTGGTTTATCTCCTGCTTGCATCTGAGGTGTGACACAATCCCCACACTGCACAAATATAGAATACACAACACACTGCTCACATGAGACAAAAAATCAACACAAGATAAGTTTCAGTCATTCCACATGAAATTAGCCTCCGCGGCCTTGCTTGCAAAACGGCGGGGTCTATACACACTGCCGGATCTTGAAATGCAGTATGCACCACAAAACACACATGCACTAGAACTCCACCTTCTATATCCTTCCTCCCTCCTCTTCTGTTCTTTTAGCAAATGCATACAACACGTGCACACAGCATAAGGGAGTCCTCTTTTTGTTTTCGTTGCTTCTCTGTTTTTTCCCGTACACGCCCCTTACTGAGGGCACAGCCACACGAGCACCTCATAGAAAGTATCTGGTGGGGTTATCAAGGCATTCACAAAGTGAAAATCAGGGTCCGTGCGCGGGCATGTTTTTTTTTTTAAATTAAAGGAACCCCAGATTCTCTCTCTCAATCCCTCCACGAATCATCGTAAACCATCCGTAAAACGAAAAAGGTAGAGATCGGCAAGATAGTAAAAAATGCGAGGTTGGCCACGTTTGTGTGGTTCAGCATAAGTGCCCACACACCTGTCTGCGGCCTAAGCGGCACACTTGCACATATACGTATGTATACGTATATATTTCGTAGTCCATAAAGGGATGGAGCGCAAAAGGCAACTTACCTAAGACAGAAGACTCCTCCAGCAAGAAGACACCGACCAAATTTGGAGGGTTGGGTCTGTTTGGTCTGCTTCTGCGTGGTCTGCTTGGTCTGTTTGCTGTGCTTGTATGTCGTCTGCTTGGTGTGCTTGTGTGTCGTTGCAGGGTATAGTCTGCTTGATATACTTGTTTGTCGTCTGCCCTCCCGCCCCCCCCGTGCCCTCCAGCCTTTTTTTGGCCATACTATGTCTAGTTTCCTCTTTCGCTTAGTACCTTGTGTGCCGTCAGCTTGGTATACTTGTGTGTCGTCTGCCCTCCAGCCTTTGCCCTCTCCTGCTGCTTGTCGTCCTATGCATCGCTGCTTTGCCCGATTCTTCCTTTTTTTTGTTTGAACTACTGTCTTTTCCATCTTGCTGGTCTTTTTCTTTGTTACTTTGGGAATGGTCCTGCTAGCCTAGGTCCGTAGTGCATCACCAAGTTGCTTCTAGTGCGATGACTCGCGATAAAGAACGTAAGTTCGGGTGCATGTATTATAGCATATGGTCTGAACGGTCGTACCATGGCTTGCTGTGGGGTTCTGAGCATGTCATGCTATGGGTTACCACACAAACACACACACACACAAGGCGGGAGGGGTTCCTGCCGATCGGCAGACAAACTGCCTCCCCGCCTTTCTTGTTTGAAATTTAAATGAAAAAAATGATAGTGTGAAGAACTACCCCTCCACTGAAAAGAGAAAAGAAAAAAAAAAAACCTTAAAGAAAAAGTACACGTTTGGGCCGAACGTGATCTTGGATGGTCCGGAACGTTCGGGCGTTCGGGTTTGGTTGGGGGTTCGGGCCGAACCGAATGCTGACCACCCTGAGCTGAAGATCAGAGGAAAAATGAAGTCATAACCCGAACGGATCGTAGAACCAAACTGATCATAGAATCAACAACTAAGTCTTCTAGAATATACCTCTGCCTCCTTTCATAGTGTGCAAGTGGGACGTTATGGCTGTATGTGGGCAGTTTGCGTTCAGCCACAATCAACTTGGCGAGCCTTGTACTTTGAGAGGCACAGAAGAAGGGGAGCTGCAAGAACAAATGAAAGGGGTACCCCAAAGAAAGCCAAAGTGAACACAGTTAAGAAAGGGATTTAAACGCTTGCTATAGAGCTGAAACCACCACTACCTCCGAGCCTGTTTTTGCTGACCCTGATTTTCACTGTGGCTCAGTTTACCCGAGCCTGGGTCCCGTTCTGTTTTATTTTGTGGTACTCCTGTGAAAAAATCAAAAGAACTCGGCGTCGCATCGGTGAAAGAAGAAAGAACAACAACGAAGACGTGATGGTGGTCAGATACATTTCTCAAGAGGTGGTGTGAGCATGTCCTCAGTGACTGTGAGCTTGTCAGAACGTCGATTCGGCGTGGAGTACACAGGAGAAGAAGAAAAACAAAAGAAACTACAGAGAAGTCGTTACGGTGGTCAGGTTCATTCTTTGTGGTACTAGTGTGAGGATGCCCTCGCCGAGTGCGAGCTCGTCAGAACATGCAATCCGCCGTGCCTCGCTGGTAGGGCACAAAGACAAAAAGAAGTGTGAAACAGAAACAAAAATGGAGCACAATCGAAGCAGTTTTAGTCCTTCTGCAGACAATGAAAACACTCGAGTTGAGACAATCGAAGAATGAAACAGAGCAAGCGACATGGAGAACAATAGATCCGTTGAAATCCTTGTCTTTAACTGTAGTTACTTCGGTTTTCTTCGGGGTACCCCTTGCAGCTCCCTTTTAGTATGCCTCTCACGTACAAGACCGGCCACATTGATTGTGGTTGATTGGCAGCTGCCCACATCCCTGTGTGCCTGAATGACACAATTTATGAAAGGAGCCTCTCCCGAGGATAGTGTTTGTGCCATTCCATTGTCTCCACACAGCGTATGGTCGGTTAGCATGCACACACCATAATCTCTGCTTTGAACAACGTGAAGGGATGGTCGCTGCCAGCCTCTGCCGCAAAAAATGCAACCCATCGTCTTGTACTCATCCCCCTTCCCCCCCCCCCCCCCCCCCCCCCCCCCCCCCCCCCCCCCCCCCCCCCCCCCCCCCCCCCCCCCCCCCCC